CTTTGAAGATTAGAATCTCTCCTGTAATATTTCTTCAAATATGCCTCAACCTCTTTGATCGAGACTATTTTATTTCCAGACTAGTGGATTTCTCAGTTACAGTGATTATCAATTTCCAGATAATGTAAATTTTCAATTTTCCACTCAAAATTTCAAATTTTTAATTGTCAATTTCTGTAAATTTCTCGATTTTTAAAAAACTCTACTAAAGTATTATTTTACATTTTTCACGGACTTTTCTTTCTAAATTCGCATGTGCTCTAATTCAAACAGAATTCTTAAGTAAATCACCAAAGTACATTCCGTTTGTTATGATTTCATTCTCTGTTCATATCGGCACTCGAACCGAGCGATTAAAACTTGGGACGATAAAACAATTTATAACCGATGACTTTCACCGCAAACACTCGGCGTCGAGGAGCACAGCTACATCGTTTATAAAAAGCATTTCGACGCTTTATACACTGCGTGGTTTCTCGATATCGTAATTTAGTGAGCTTATTATCACGTAGTTAAGTCGTGCGTCGCATTCCTCTATGTTTTTTTTTTTTTTTTTTTTTTCAGAAAACTGATTCACCGTTTCGTATGGAGAATAAAGAAGAGAAGATGGCTGTACGTATATGTTATGCAGCCATGTTTGATCTTCGATTGTAATCTCTCCCTTGTAAAAGATTCACGCACGACGAATGTAACACCTAGAGGATCAAGAAGTGTGAAGACGGAGACAAGAAGGAAGAAATGATGACTCTTTAACGGATTTTATTACAAATTCTGTTCGTTAAATGGCAAAGATAACGAAGTGAAACAAGTTTCTCAAAGCGTCGTAGATATCCAAAGGTATGCCAAGAAAATTGGTCTTCTTGTTTTATTTGAAATTTTAGAATTCTCTTCCAAGTGGATGTGGAGATTATATTTCGAACCTCAATTGACAGATTTATTTTTTTACTGTTTCTATTAATATTTATATTTTTACTTCTTTACTCTTCTACTATATTCATTTTTTTTTTTTTTTTTTAAGAAGAAAAGGATGAAGAAAAAATTGAGTGACAACACGTTTTGTTGTTCCATTTAATCAAGAATTCACTAACATTATTAGCAAGCTACTATACAATAAAACATCGTAATTAAATTTCTTTAATTTTATTTCTGCAATTTAAGATAACTTAGTAATAACAGTAGTAACAATAATTTAAAGAAGATGAAGCATCTTGCTAATTATCTGGAATTATTCGATAAGTGTACGAAAGATTTATTCGAACGATAAAGGAACAAATCGCGACAAAGAAACGAATCATCGACAGTTAACAAGAACATTTATCACGACTGATCAACGATTTTACGTGTCACCAATTAAGAGATTAGACACATCAACTGCATTAAAACAACTCTGTGACGTGATAAATTTTCCTGAGTAGTTGCTCGTCGTTTGTTTCGCAAATAAAACTGGCCACTTTTTATCAATGAATTCGCCTCGAAGCACGGAGAAAAACTCGAGTCGTGTAAAAGGGACCAACTCGCTGTTGTCCACGATAATAATGGATCAAACGATTTCACAAGTCTAGAAGGATCATTCTTTCTCATGCGTGATTTTCATATGATTTCAGAGAAAAATTCCGCGGAACATGCAAACGCGAAAATGCGATCCACGAGATTAGTTATCTTCTCAGAGGAGTTAACGCATGACTTCGACAAGATGATCTTACTATCTGTCCAAGGGAACTCGTGTACGTTACAAATCGAACACTTTGCAAATAACTAGGAATAATCTTCTTTAAATCGCTATCAGGACGGGTCAGTTTATTCGAAAAATGTTAGAGGAATGTTATTTTTGCGTGTAACGCGTATGTCTCGTGACTCGTAAATTCTCTTGCTTGTTGAATAAAATTGGCGTGTTTTTAGTAATAAAATTATGCAAATTAGAAATGACTGTAAATTACTCCGGCAAGTGAGCTGGGGATTTTCGTTAATTTGCAATTTCATTTGCATACCCTTGTTTCGAGGGTATTAAACGAGGATTTTAGTATTTTTCTTAAAGAAGATGAAGAAGACGAAGGTGACGAAATTAATGTAAATTGTCGTCCACAAAGTGACGTAAATTAACATAATTCTACAATAATCGAAATTTCTGTCGAGCAGTTGATTTATTAAATGTTAAAATGATATTAACATCACGAATGAAAACTTGTTTTATAACATATGTTTTATATTTAACCATTCACTGTAACAATTTCGACTCACTTTCAATATCTGAAAAAAAAAAGAACAAGAAAATTTCAATTATCTTTAGTTGCAGCGTTTGAAACCGGATGTCATCTCATTTCGGCGTAAGCCAAATTTACAAGCAAAACGATTTCATCGTTCATTGAAGAGATTTCGTCGTTCACGGTGATTTTATTTCATTCTCAATCAGGATCAGCTTTGGAAATACGCATAAATGTTTATTAATAAACCAAACGATCCTTTCGTTATTGTCATCAACAAGAAAAAATTAATTGTTTGATATCGTCTTAGCCACCATTATTGCACGCTAATCGCTTTAACCGGTTTCGTTATACTTCGTCGTAATGTTTCATTAATAGCTCGTAAATTTATCGTCAATTTAAGCTGGATGACATCAGACATCATTCGACACGTTCTACAAAAAAAAAATAGAGTGACGATTATTTTATACCTTGGAAAATACCCGATAAATTCACGGTTATTACTCAGCCTACTATCTTAAAATATGTAATTACGGTTATTTTGTAATTTTACGATGCATTTGTACAAAGGCCTGTTCATCTCGAGCTATTTTTTCATAAAAATCTTCTAGTTGTACGGCGGTGCAATTCTAGAGCTTTGAATAATTTTTCACAAAATACGTGATTTTCACTGCATCATGCGTCTTTCTCTATTTCTCGTGGTTTAATTGATACAGATCTTGTCTAATCTGATACAAGTTTTATACTGTGATTCTCGATAATTCGAGAATTGAGATAAAATTCTAAAATTATTCTAGAAATCAAATGTTCAATAGATTTATTCACCTTCTTGTTCTACAGTAGTGAATTCTACTCTATAGGATCGTAATTTTCATACTTTATACAAATAGTTCTTTAACACGTGGTAATAATATTTCACTCGCGAGTACTGTTTCATTAAACGAGACATGCGTCCCAATGAGAACTAAATTTTATTATAAATTTAATAACTGAAATATTAGAAATTTATTCTGTTCAACTATATGTGACTAACTGTGAATTTCGATTACTGCGGTTTAACTGGATATTTAGAAAAATGAAACAACTTGTCAAGAGTGGCGAGGAGAAATGGCGACTAAATGCAACACGTGGTCTCGATTATGGATATTAAAGAAGACGAAGAAGATCGAGAGATTCTAACTTTTGACATACTTACTACTAGGCAATAAATTGAAGAAATGAGTCAGTAGACATCAATTACAAGCTCAATTTATATCCAAATAAAATGTCGAGGGTGGGCTTGGAGAGGACGAGAAGCAAGTTATCGACTTTCCATCGTGTGCCACGTAAAATTATCGCGTCCCATGGGTCAAAATGTCAAGGTGTTCGCGCAGTGAAAGGACACTCATATTTATGCTCTTTTTTCGCCGTGATTTATCACCACGGAATAATTGATAAATTATTTCCGCGATGGCCAGCTGTTTTTCATTCATGGTGAATTAATTTATTCAACGCCGCCATCAGCTATTGCTCAATTAACGTTACCTGTCACTGATCTAATTATCTCTTATATATATATTATTTATTTATTTATCTTATATTATATTTCTTCTTCTTCTGTCTTCACTTCGATCGCAATATTAGATTACATTATGTTTTGAAATATTAGATTGTTTCGATTAAAATATTGGATTAGATACATGTTTATTTTTTTAAGAAGAACTATTTGTTAGACTGGAAAATGGCTGACATATTGACATCGCTAAATTCAAATTTTGTAGACATCATTTTATACAAGATAATCTAATATCGCTCGTAATTAATCGGAGTCTCACAAAGTGCAGAGGAATGCATTCTCCAGCGATAGTATGACGAATATGTATTTTTAATCACAATTATTGTGATTTAAAAAAATATTATAATATCGTGGTTATTGATGCATCAATCAGCTTTGAATGAAAGCCGGAAATTAATTTAATTGAAACATACAGATCCAACCGCGTGAACAAAGTATGAAATATAACTCGTTCATTACGATTTAATACTGAGAGATTTCAATATTTAGATATCAAAATGTTCGCCAAGGTTTCGAGGAAAATTACGAGCTGCAACGAAACCTGAACATGCTGTATATTACATATGTGGAATAATCTTCAATGACATTAATATATGCCGGAATGCTGATTCACTCAAAAGAGAAGATTGTTAACAGAGAGACTGCAAAAATATCTTTCTTAACGAGAGATGTGAAATTTGAAAATCATATGACTGCATATATTAAGATGATCCGTAGATTAATATAACAGTAACAAAAACGAAAATACTCGCGTATACAATGTTTCTGTCAAGTAGATAGTAGTGAAAAGTAGTTACTTTTTTTTTTTTTTTTTTTTGGAATTGTACTACTTAGTCTTTATATCCTATTTCTTGAACCAGTTTGAATCAGTAATTAGTAAGACTGGGGACTTTTATTTATATTAATTTGAAGAAATGCATATGATATGCAAAAATATATAAACTATTCAAATACTCGATATACTCTATATAGAAATTAATTTTCTCCCTGTATTTAAATTATTCGATTATCATTGAGTATGTTCTCTTCTAGACATTTATGTTTTTAACGAAAAAATAATATCGGACACTGAAGTGGGATTTCAAGAACTTGAAAATGCACTTCAGAATTGCCATTTTTTTATATTCATAAAAGTTTGCAAGAGATGTCGCCGGTCAAAGGCCATTTTTGTTCAACATTACGTCGCTATTCCACTAACAATAAGATGCACAAGACAAGACGTTCCACTCGGTGGCTAATTAAACGTAAAACGCGTTGGCCGCTTAATGTCCGCGATTTAAAGCATGACAGAGCCGCTTGACGAATGCGATGTTCCTAGAACATCGTAAGATCGTAAAGATCGTTGTCCAGCTTCCTAGAGCACACTCATGCGAGTTAATTGTGGCGAGTTATTAAGATCTCTGTTTCATTGAACGTTCGTTGTACCAGCCTCCGGCTGGAAGCCTCATGGGAAAGAATGGTAAAAAAAAAAAAAAAAAAAGAAAGGTCACAAAATGAAAATGTCGCACCTCGTAAATTGTAGCCGCGCTTTAATTAAAACTGAACGAACTGACCACGTCGTGCCTGAAATGTAGATTGTGGGTTTACAAATTTAGAGTGAAAGGTGAAGATACCATGGAATTTCGTTCCTCCATGATGTGTATGTATGTATATATATATAAAGATGCTGAGATAAATGAACACGCTGTGGACCGCACGATAGTATTTATTTAACATCTTAGGAACGTTTCCCAACGTTGTCTCTTGTTTTTCATTCCTTTGTTCTATACGTTGCTTCTTTACATGTGTTAGTTTCTTTTTGAAATTCTTCTTGATTCACTATTCCAGAATTACTTACAACAATTTCATTTCCTTTGAGGAATGTGTGTCTAAACAAATTGGAAAATGCTACATCTTTTGATTATTTACACAATGTATCCTGTTATTCTGTTTGAACTTTTAATAAATAAACCAATTATTTCATCACTGATTATAAGATTAGATTATCAATGAAATCGTTTCTAAAATCGATACGTTTCTAATTCCGAAAACACTTTGCTAGACGCTTGAGCGATTAATGGCAGAATCAAAATGAAGAAATAATCGTGTAGGTCTTCGTAAATTAAGCAACGTGGTTTTTCCCGTTTGTCGATTGCAAAATGATTTACTGTCCACGCAGCTGTGCAGCTAGATTTCGACTTAGAACCCGCCGTATTTCCATTCTGTCTGGTTCAATTACTTCAAATACGTGAAACACGTTCCGTCGTGTTTTGGCGTTGCCTGCCTGGAAATGGCACGGATCAGGAAGCGTGACATTGAACGATGCCCATAGCAGCACGGTGAAAACGATCGGATTTGGTGTAAAACGAAGCGTTTAATTATCTAAGATTCGTCATCGACGTAACAGAAGTCGTAACAGCGTGTTTAATATGGCGATCAGCCGAACGACGAAGATAGTAATGAAAGGAAACGATCTCCATAAATAGTGCTCATTATCGACCGGTCAAACGTGAAATCCGAAATCAGCGATGTCCAGAGAGTGACACTTGTTGCCGCGGGTACGTGTTTCTACGACGAAAAAGAAAAAAAAAAAAAAACAGGGGAGAAAAGGAAAACGACGCGAAATGGTAACACGCATGATTCAACATTTCGCAGCAGAGACATAATTTTTAAGGGACGTTACCCTTAGTGTTTACTGGATGAGCAGTGCTGTCGAATTAATAACGATTAAAGGGCGAAAATAGAGCGAAGTTGTGTAACGTGTGATGAAAGTTCGACGAAATATAAAAAAAAGAGAAAGAAAAGAAAGAAAAGATCGAAATACTTCGTAATACTTAGAAATCTATCACTCAAGATCCGTTGGATTCGTAACTCAAATTTGAAACAAATATAGCAATTTTATATAATAATCTGACGTGATGATTTAATTACATCGATGAACGTATTCGTTCGGCATTTAATAGCGCGAAGACCGTTTGTCTTTTAATTTCAATTTGACTTTATCATTAAAATCACTTAACATTGCGAAAAATGAACGATGAAATAAAATCGAGAAAAGCGCTTCCCCTATGAAGGTTATAGTTTCAATCTATGTCTCGAATCAAAACCATTTATCCAAGTAATTATTTTAATACGTATCTGTCACTAGCACGAGAGGAACTACAATCATCGAATTTGCAACGTGCAAATAAATTGATTTCATCTATCGTAGTTCAATTGTACTGACTGGTCTTGTTAACGTCGAAATGTTGTTTAATTACCTGTTGCTTTAACATTTGATTAATAAGCGGCGCGATTCCGTGGAATTTCGTCAGCCACTCGTGCCATATTTAGTTTTGTTAATTATTTTCCGATCGTGACATGCACAAAAATAATAGAACCACGTTTAAATGAGCTGGTTTATAATTCCCTATTTCCTGGCATTTTAATTACCAGATCCCGTCCTCTTTAAGTATGCGTTATCTATTGGTAGACTAAGGATATCCAACGTAATTGTAAATACGAAGCAAATAAGAACATTTGAAAAGACAGACAAACATATATTTAAAATACTGTATTATACTTTAAACCTAAAGATTGCAATATATTGTTATTTTTTGTTCATTAACATATGCTGAGTATTATTAAAAATCTATTGTGGACTACGTAAGATAA